GAATATAGCTCATGATAATTTGTTTATATAGTATATAAATTTAATATTAAAAAAAAAAAAAATATTACTCTTAAATAAGGGGAGTTACATATATTATGTAATATTCAGTTTAATATAAACTTACTCCACCTCCCCTCTTGTCAGATTTAATAACCAATTAAATTATAATATTTATAAATTATATATTTTATTAAGTGTAATGTAAGATTTTGGTTACCCTCCTCCCCTTTTGATAATTACGTAATATCTGTAAGCTCCCTAATGTACAATATATATTTATAAAGATTTAAAATTTAAATATATTTGTGTTGAATATATCTTCTTTTTTTAGAAATTTTTATATAATAAAAATGCTAATTATTTTATTATGTAATACTAAAAATTTTCTGATTTTTTTTAATAAATGCAGTTTATATCTTATATACTTATAAATAAACCTTAAAATCTTATATTATATATATATTTTTACCTCCTTTATAACTTTATTTATTATAGTAAAAGGATTTAAAACTTCATTTTAACTTATAATATAGAAATGCATTCAAATGTAAGTATATTTAAAATTTAAACTCTATTTATAATAATTATACTTTTAAGTTCATAAGTTTTATAAAATATAACTTGATAAATCTAAAATCTATATAATAGGTGATTTTTTATATTAATATTAAATATACAGTTAGCCCTTTCTATAACGAATTTCGATATAACGAATTTCACAATATAATGAATCTTTAGTGTAGTATGCATTTAGTTATATAAAAAAAAATTCGTTACGCTGAATTTTACTAATAAAATGCATTATAACGTTAAACAAAGAAAAATTTATGATTTCACATATGTAAATGACCCTTTTTATAACGAATTTCTTTTAAACTGAATTTGTTTTTTAGTATAACGAAGATTTTTGCAAGATAAATTTTAATATAAAAGATAATTTGATGTTACTTTCATGAAATTTTTCCCAAATAAGCAATTTTATCATTTTAATTTATTTATCAAAAGATGGATGATTTATGCTTTGAAATTTCTTTGCCTCTATAATCTGACATTTTACAAATGTATTTGATTTTTCTATATTTTACCGCATTATACCAAATTTTCTGCTATACCAGATAATTCGTTATAGCATTAGCAAATTTTCTCATAACGAAGGATTGATCAGCCCAGACGTCTACTTCGTTATATCAAGAGCTGAATGTACAAGTAAAAATAAATTATATCTCCCATAAATTATATTTTTAGCAAATTGGCTATTTTTTTATAAGCATTATATAATTTAATATTCAATTAGATTTTTTACTTTTGTAACTTTTTACAGAAACTTAACATCTTTAATTAATATAGAATTGATATCATTAAGTTTATTTTAATGGTATTAGTTTGACATTATTTTGATATTGATTCAATATTAATTTAATATCAATATGATATCAAAATAAAGTATTATCATTTTGATATTATATTAATATTGAATTGATATTAAATTAATATTGAAATGGTATCAAAAAATAATTAAAATAGCATTGAAATGATATTTTTAAGTTAAACTTAAATATATTGTTTCAATGTTATTTCAATTATCATTTTAATATCATTTTGAATTTTTGATACTATTTCGATATTATTTTGATATTGAAATGATAATATTTTATTTTGATATCATATTGATATTAAATTAATATTGAATCAATATCAAATAATATCAAAATAATATTATTTGAAAACTTGAAGTTTCTGTAAAGTTTTTATTTTTCATAAATTTTTTTTTTTAAAATTATTATTTAATGAAAAAATAATTATATTTATTATATTATTTTTAAAAAATTTTTAATTTTATTAACCAAAGGGAAAATTTCTTTTATGACAATAAAGGATGACAAATAGGATTTTTAATAACAAAAAATTTTCAATTCCAGAAGACCGTAGGGTATAATACATTATAATAAATAAACCTAACTTTTATTTAATCTCTCTAATAACTAATAAATATTAGGGTTTTTTTCTAGTTATTCTTATATTTAATTTAAAATTTGTTATTTGTTAAAAATTATATAGGTTTAAATTTAGGTATTATAATTAAATTATTGATTTTTAAAATGCTAAAACTTAACCAATATTTATTTTAAGAAATTTTTTTTAGGAATTTTAAAAAACTGATTGATTGTTACTGGTTGACACTTGACAAAAAAGATTGGGCAACAAATCTAGCTATACTGATAGAACCCCCCTTAAATTGTATAATGCCAATTTTGGCCGGCGTTATTATCAGCCATTTCATGTTGTACGACGATTAGTTGAAAATTTTTTAACGAATAAAATTTGAATTAGACAAAGTAATACTTAAGGCTTGTTCCTTGAACCGACATTTTTTAATCGATATCAGCTTTCCAAGTCCTTAATCGTCCTATATATAATTAAACGCTAAATTTTTTTACGTTCTAATGGCAACTTCAACAGATTTCACAGACGTTGATGGGTGGATTCAACATCTTATGCAATGTAAACAGTTACAAGAAGCTGATGTAAAGAGATTGTGCGATAAGGTAGGTAGATTAAGTAACCTTGCTCACTTTATACTTACTGTTTCTGCTTAGTAATACGTTCGTTTAAAAATTTGTCCTTTTTTTGAAATAACAACAATCTAAACTCATTACTTTTCGTATATTAATTTGTTGTCAAACTTTTTCACAATTAGTATTATTGAATGCGTGAATATGTTTTTTTTTTTTTGAATACAAATCTTCTAGGCTCGGGAAATTCTTATGGAAGAATCAAATGTTCAACCCGTAAGATGCCCTGTTACAGTTTGCGGAGATATTCATGGTCAATTTCATGATCTTATGGAACTTTTCCGTATTGGCGGTAATTCACCGGATACCAACTACCTCTTTATGGGAGATTATGTTGACCGTGGATATTATTCCGTTGAAACTGTGACCTTACTCGTTGCACTCAAAGTCAGATATAGAGATAGAGTTACAATTCTCCGGGGAAATCATGAATCTAGACAAATTACCCAAGTATACGGGTTTTACGATGAATGCCTAAGAAAATACGGAAATGCGAATGTATGGAAATTTTTCACCGATTTGTTTGACTATTTACCACTGACAGCATTAATTGATGATCAGGTAAGTCAAAGAAATTAATAATAATCTTATTTTATTCATCATAATGATAATGCATATTGATAATTTCTGTACAACGATAATTTTTTTTCAAAAAAATGCAAGATCTTCTGTCTTCATGGTGGTTTGTCTCCATCGATTGATACGCTGGACCACATTAGATCCCTGGATAGAATTCAGGAGGTACCTCATGAAGGACCTATGTGCGATTTGCTGTGGTCCGATCCAGATGATCGATGTGGTTGGGGAATTTCACCTAGAGGTGCTGGATATACGTTTGGACAAGATATATCGGAAGCATTTAATCACAACAATGGGCTAACATTAATTGCTAGGGCTCATCAATTAGTCATGGAGGTAGGTATAGTTAATAAATTGGGTTTAACTACAATTATATATAAATTCTGAGACACGTGTTATAACGCATATTTTTTATTATTCAGGGATATAATTGGTCGCAAGATAGAAATGTTGTTACAATCTTCAGTGCTCCAAATTACTGCTATCGTTGTGGTAATCAAGCTGCCATTATGGAAATAGATGAACATTTGAAATATACATTGTAAATATTTGTTTATAATCGTTTGCTTATTTAAGAATTTCAATATTAATTTTAATTATTTCATTTTTCAGCTTGCAGTTTGATCCTGCACCCAGAAGGGGCGAGCCTCATGTTACTCGTCGAACACCTGATTATTTCTTGTAAACTTCATATTTTTCAAAAAAAAAAAAATTTTTAAAAAAAAGTATATACATATTCAATATCGTTGATCGATTTGTGCTGATTCTCTAATTGTGAAAATCAAATATAGGATACGTATAGTCTAGCACATGATTGTTCAATTGACTAACAAACAATTATTTATACTAAACTTGTTTAAATTTTTTCTTGATGATTGTATAAAGCATTTTGATGGGACAGTTTTACAAAATTTATTTATACATGTAAATTTTGTTTATTTGCATATTTCTTAATTTTCACTTTCATTTAATTAGCAGTTAGAGTATTTATTAATCTTGCCAAGACATATTAAATATGTTGTATCATTATATGCTAAGTAAATGTAAATCTATTAATTTGTGCTATTATATTTATTATTTTCACTTGAAAGTAAGAAATGTATAAGTATAAAAGTACATTTTAAGTAAATTTACTTTTACTTTATAAATATAGTGTAATTTTAAATATAATGAATTTTACTTTAATAATTTATTAAAAAATTAAATATTAAAAAGTGAAATTTTATATTAACTGGTAAAATATTCAATTTTATAATACTAGTTATATATCTATATAGCTTTATATAGTTACAATTTATTTATTTTATAAAAAAAATTATATTATATATAAATAAAATATAGTAATAAAAGTAATTATTTATTTCCAATATTTATTAATTTATTACCTTATATAATATTTTTGTTTCAAATTTAAAATTCATTATGTAAATAGTAAATATCCAATAAAAACTCATAATTTTGAATAAAAGGTATAAAAAACAAATATGAGCATATATAAAAAAGGAAATTAGTCAAAAAAGAATATTAAAATTGCATTATGTTTAGTATTTATTTTAGAAAATTAAATATTGAAAAAAAATTTTGATATTTTAAACCTTAAAATGGTACTTATAATAATCAATTTGAATTGTATAATTGTTGCAAAATAAAATGCATTCATATGATTTTTTTATTTTAAATTTAAGCTGATTATATAAAATCACCAAATTTTAAATGCTTATAACTTTTTATAGCTTTTGAAGATTTGCCAATAAAAATTAAATATTTTTTAATTTATTGTCTGGAGCGAAGCAAAGGACTATATATGTTTATGAACCTTAATGACATATTGGATCATGTGGCGATGTCCGTTTGTCTGCACGTGCCATTTCTGATTGGTCTGCACAGATTGTGTCATTGAAATTTCATGCTACTTCAAAAATAAACAAGTGTAATAATCATAATAAGTTTATGATAAACATGATTACCTGATAATCTCTTTTTTTGTTTGGTTTCGTCTAGTGAGTATATTTTTTTTAATTGATTTCAAAGGAATGTTTTTGATTTATTTCTTATTCTTTTTCTAGGGTTTCTGGATTTCTTGTACATACTGGACTTTAAAGGTAAATTAGGAAGTGGGGGGTTTTTTATTTGTTTAACTTTAAAGAAACGTTTCTAACGTTTTATTTCTTACTTTTTTCCTAGAGTTTCTGGATTTCTTGTATATACTGGAAAGTTGTTTTTTTATTTGTTTTGCTTTAAAGAAACGTTTCTAACATTTCACTTATTATTATTTCTAGGGACACAGGATTTTTATACATGCCAAATTTTTAAAGGTAATTTGGCTTTTCTTATTTGTTTGACTTTAAAAAAACGTTTCTAACGTTTCATTTCTTACTTTTATCCTAGGGTTTCTAGATTTCTTAACTGGTAAGTTGTTTTTTATTTGTTTTGCTTTAAAGAAACATTTTTAACGTTTCATTTTTATTATTTTTATCTAAGAACGCAGGTTTTTTGTATATGCTGGATTTTTAAAGGTAAATTGTAAAGAGAGGCTTTTCTTATTTGTTTAACTTTAAAGAAACGTTTCTAACATTTCATTTTTTATTTTTTTTAAGGACGCCAGATTTTTTGTACAAATTGAATTTTTAAAGATATTTGGATTTTTGTACAAAATCTTTCGCTCTGGACTTACAATGGTTTCCGTTTCCTAGTAATATCACCTTTATTGCCATTAATAATTTGTTATATTAAATTTCTGATACTGGAATAGACTTGTAGTATTTATACAATATAAATAGACTAATAATTTAATAGTGCTTATTTTAAAAAACAAAATTACCAGTTTATTTCTTTTAAATTTTATTTTTTTTTAGTGTTAAAATATTAATATAAAGTTACTTGTTAAAATTAATTTTTATAAAAAATATTAAAATTATAATAAATTAAATATTCTTATAAACTTTATATATATATTTAATATAATTTTAATAAATATATAAAATAAATTATAATTTGATTTTACTATAATTAACTTTTTTTTATAATTACATATTTGGAATAATTTATATTATATATATATAAATTATAAAAAAATATAACTATAATAGGAAATTTAAAAATCATTAAATTTATATAAAGTATTAAAGTTATATAATTTTTTATAGGAATTAACTACATTTTTACTACCAATTATTTGGCCATTTTTTCAGTGGATTTTGCTGAAGAAAAAACTTTTGCTCTTTTTACTTGAATAGTTATAGAGTATTTTTAAAGTTGTTTATAAACTTTCTGGAAATTCTTTCAAGATTTAAGTAGACCTTTAATTTCCAGTTTAGTAGAGTTATTGTACTTAATTTGAAACAGTTTTTACTAAAAATAATTTTACTTTGTAAAATTTCTGAAAATTGTAACAATTACATACTGGGTGATTGGACTTTAAACTCTGTATTAGTGTGAAGTTTTTCTGTTAATTTTTTTTGTTTTTAGAAATGTTGTAAAAGACACTTTTAAAGTATAAAAAGTGAACACTTAAAAAGTAAGCTTTTCTTTATTATCAGTTAACATTTGAAGAATTGTAGTAGTAGATAGAGATTTAGTATTTATTATCTTTTTTAATCAGTTTTTTCATTTGGGATATTTTGAGGGGTATGACTTTCCCTTTTGTTTTTTAGTTTTTTTTTTTCTGAAATTTCAGTATTTTTACTTTTTAGTTTTCTTTTAAAGAAGTTGAAGTATTGAAATGTTAATAATTTGAATTGAAAATTTGGTATTATTTAACTTTTAGATTTATGTAAATTGGTTTAATTAGAAGCTGATAGGATCAGTGAATTTTAATTTTTACTAATTCAAGTTAATTTACTAAAATTAAAAATATTAGATTATTTAAAGCAAAAAGTTATCAGTTTGACTTGATGTATTTACTTAAAATTAAATAAAATACATTGTATATAGACACAAAAAAGTATTCAATAAGTAATCATCAGATTTTTTTAATAAAAAAAAATCGGTCAGAGAATTCAAAATGCAAATATAAATATATCACATCTTGTCCTATAAAAAATCATCAAAGAAAGTACCAGAAGTACTTTGTTAAGTTTTTTTATCGTCCCTATAAAAATTTTCTATTCCTATAAGAAAAATTCTTGAGGACGCTCTTAGAGATATTACCTTTTTTTTTACAAGTTCTTATTTTAAAATATACTAACTTTTATATTGTAATTTCAATTTTTTTAAACAGGTACTATATTTATTAGTAAATAAAATTAAAATAAAAAGTATTAAATCTAATCATTTGTATATCATTTTGCTGATGAGTAAAAGAACTCTATGAGGATCATAAGAGAATTTGACTTTTAACCTGAATTTTTGTTTTTAATGTTTTTATAATAATAATATGGTTCATATTGGTGTATGTTTTATGGTTTGTTAAGTTTAGATTATAGGATTTGCAAAGAACTAAAATAAAGTTAATTATTGTAGATAACTCTCTATGTATTTATATATTTACTTGTTTTTTAATAAATGCATAACAGAATTTTAAAACAAAAAAAAAATAATAATTTTTTATAAAAGGATTTTTTTTTTTTTTTAATCGCAGTACATTTATAAATTTATTAAAATATTAATAGTAATACAAAATACAAAAAGTAAAGAATTACAGGACTATTTTAATATTATTAATTTATAAACCGCTCGTCATACCAAAAGGCACCTTACGCGTGCACTGTCAAGTAATTGATTATGCTAAATAAGTTGACCACATGTGAAACGAGTCATTCTTAGCCTATATAAGGATTTATATATTTATAAAAATATATAAAAATTATAAAAACTAATATGTATTTTATCTATTTATTAATTTATAAAACTATTTTATTAATAAATATATTTATTTACAAAATATATATTATTACTAGAAAACAGAAACTATTATAAGTTCAGAGTGAAAAAAAGATTATAAATAAATCTTTATATTGTTTATCTAATATAATACAAATTAATTTTCATCTGATGTAGTATAAAAATTCAATAATGTGATACATACAGACAACCAGATATCATCACATGACACTATTTGATATAATCCTTCAAAAATATATATAGTATATCTTATAATATACTTAAATTTTAATTTAAGTATATATTAAGTATATATTAAGTATTTGGGCAAAAATTAAATATATTAAAAATATATTTTAAATATATTTTAAAAAGTTTTTAATTATATTTTAAATATAAATACTTTTTAATTTTTATAGGGTTCTTTACTTTGCTTTGAACAATAATGATAATAATGTAAGTAATATTACCTGATTATTTTTTTGTTTATCAGTTATTTGTTTATAATAATAAATAACTTTTTTTAACGTTATTTAACATCTTTTAACATTTTTTAATATTTTAATGTTTTTTAATGTTTTACTTTTTAATGCCTTTTCTTTTTTTTTAAACTTTTGAAGGTAAGTTTTTTTTTATAATATTTGTTTACTTTTTTATTTGCTATTGTTCTTTAATTGCTTATTTTCTTTTTGTAGATTTTTCAACTTTGATATTCTAGTAAATGTAGTAAATGGTAAGTTTTAAGTTTTTTAGCATTTCAAAAGTCTAGTTTCTTTATAATAATTAATCAGTTTCATTTTTCATTTGGGTTTCTCTTCTTTAGATTTCTTCTTAGATTTCATTGTATTTCTTTTAAATTTTTTTTTCAGGTCTTTTTTTATTTTCTTTATATGATTTCATTTTTACTTATGTTTGATTTAGTTTTATTATAATTTTGGTTATTCATTTATCTTCTTATTGGTTTTAGTTTATTTTAATCTTATATATTTTTTATTTTTTTCATTTAATTTTATTTTTAGTTTATTATAATTTCAATTATTTTTAACTTTAGTGATAGTATCAAAAGTAATTATACATATATATAATATAGCATAATTATAGATTTTTCTATTTACAATAAATGTATTTGTAAATTTATTTTTATATGCAAATCAAATTAAAAATTTTATACATATATGAAATCACTTGATTTTAATAAATTTATATATAGGTGAAATTATTTAAGTGATTTTATCTGAAAAGCAAATTAGCAAGATTCATATAAATTAATAAAACTTAAATAATAAGAATTATTTTTATAATTATAATATTATTTTATATTTTATATTAATAATATTTGTATATAATTTGTTTAAAAAAAATTATATAAATTTTAATTAAATTATTAGTTTTATTATTTATTATTCTATTAAATAATATATATATATAATTTTTTTTAAAAAAAAAAAATAATACAGTCAATTTTCTCTATAATCTTACTTTTTAAGGTTACTTAATAGTATAATTATAATGAGATATATCTATTGGTAAAGGTATTAATCCAATATTTTCAAATATAAATAAATATGATATATGTAAAAATATTTTATAAGATAAAATATGTTTAAAATTATTTATCTGTTTTTAAAAAATAAAAACTTTTCCTTCCATTAAGTTTAAAGTGCAGATTAAATAATATATATTTTATTAGTTATTTTATCAAATCATATGATTTATTATGTATTTATATAAAAGAAATTTTCTATATATTTTTTATAATATGAGATTGACAATTGGTATGATTGTACTTATAACCAATAAAGTAATTATATATAAAAAAATTAGAATCAAAAAATATATACTTTAAAAAGAAAAATCTTATATAAGAAGTATCTATAAAAAGAATTAACTGTATAAGTTATTAAATTTAATAAAAAATATAAAATATATATTTAATTTAACAATTTAAATATTATTTAAATTTTTAAGATTTTCTTAATAAATTATTATTTAATTAATCTATTTCTATAAAAAAATAGTTTTTTTTTATAATACTTTTAGATAGTTCTTTAGTTTTTTTTTATTTTATATAATTTTAATACATATTTTTTTATATATTAATTAAAGTAGAACAATTAAATTTAAAGTTTTACTAACTTGCTCTCTGAATCAAATTATTTGGATTAAATCATTTCCCTAAAATTTATATTTTACATCAATATTTTTTTTTTTTAAAAAAAAAAATTATTTGTATTATTATTTGTTTCACTTTATATAGATTTTATTTATTTGGATATTATAAAGCATAATAATTAAATTTTCTTATATTTTTGACAATATCTCTCATTTTTATTGTAATTATAATTTACATTTTTTTTTTGAAAATTTGGGCAAAATTATATAATTATATAAAATTTACTAGTTGGTTAAATCACTTAAGTTAAATCACCTTAAATTAAAATTAATCTTATATTAATCTTATATTAAATCAAATATATATCTAATGATATCTAATGGTAAATAGTTTTATAAAATTATAATAAAAATAATAATAAAACTGAATTTTTTTTAATATGAAAAATTCATAATCTAATAAAAAAAAAATCAATAAAAAAAATCAATATTCTAATAATAAAATTAATTTTTAATATGAATATTATCAAAATTTATCAAATTTTAAAAATATTTACTAATTATTAATACAATATACAATATTTTTATATATTTTAATAACATTTTTATTAATTATTGAATAATATTATAAAAAAATTTTAAATAGACAATAAAAAATAATATTTTTTGAAAAAAAAAAATTATTAATACAATATACAATATTTTTATATATTTTAATAACATTTTTATTAATTATTGAATAATATTATAAAAAAATTTTAAATAGACAATAAAAAATAATATTTTTTGAAAAAAAAAAAATATTAATACAATATACAATATTTTTATAACATTTTTCTTAGTATTAATTATTGAATAATATTATAAAAAAATTTTAAATAGACAATAAAAAATAAAATTTTTAATATTTTTTGAAAAAAAAATAAAAAAATTATTAATAATAATATTGTATATGAAAAATTTATTAACCTTTTTTTTTTATTTGATAAAAATTACAAATATTATATAATAAAGGATTACTTAAAAGTAAAAAATTTTCTTTAAAAAGTTAAAATGATTATTATTATAAAGAACATGCTTATATTATCATATTACTATTACTAAATCAAATTATTTTTTTTTTTTTAGAATTATAAAACAGATAAGAAATCAAAATATATAAAAAAAATATAAAACAAGTTTATATTGTTATAAACAGATAAAGAAATTAAAATATAAAAAATATAAAACAAGTTTATATTGTTATTATTAAAATTTATTCATAATCCAGTCAATTATGTACGAATATATATATATTTATAATCATAATTATAAATATCTTATCATGAATATATCAATTTTTCAATTTTACAAATCATATAAACATAATAATTTTTTTAAAAAAATTAACTTCCAAAAAAAAATTATGTGTCTTTTTTTTTATTTATACGATTATGTAAAGCATTGTAAATTCATGACGTATTTATTATAGTTATTATATACTTAACGTGGGGTGGTATTTAAGTAATAAAAAAGAATAAACGATAAAGTATACTGCTAACAACAATTTATGTTAGCGTTATTTTCTTGGCATAAACAAATTATTAAATTATTCGATAATACAATAATATAAATGATTAATTATTTTTTTAATATTAATGATGTCACATTAATTGAATTTTTGAAACAATTTAAACAATTTAAATAAAACGTGATTTTATGCGAAATGCTGATGAGATTTACGTTTTGAAGATCTTTTCATAAGATTTTCGTAGATTTACCAAACGAAAAAAGAATAAAAACGAATGCCTAGTGATTTCCTAAACAGTTATAAACCGGGTAAGTTTGTTTGTTTTTTTATCTATATAATATATATTTTACGCGAAAAAAGCGGAAACTATAACAGATGACTTTATTGACGCAAGAGATTTGACACAAGAGATATTTGACGCAAGAGATTGTAATTTTAACGAAAGAGATTTTAAAAGAGATTTTAACGTAATGCAAGAGATTTTAATGCAAGAGATTTTAACATTTTAACGCAAGAGATTTTATTTTAACCGCAAAGATGTTTAACGCAGAAATGTTTAATGCAAAGATATTTTTAACGCAAAGATGTTTAACGCAAAAATGTTCAATAATGCAAAGATGTTTAACGCAAAGATGTTTGCCAATAATTCGTTAATTGCAAAATAATACTTAAAAAAAAACTTAAAATTTTAAATTGAAATTTTTTTTTTGTGCCAAATGCCAAAGAGACTACTATATCACCATATTGTTCGTTGAAACTAGTATCCCAACACCTTTTTTATCACATATTCAATATGATTCACGATCCCAGTCCTCGGACTTTTAGGAAATAAAATAAAAAAAAAAATAATTACACGAAAAAAAAATGAATTGCGAGTTTTAAAAAAAAAATAAAGGTTCCCAAACCAAATAATAATTTATCCATCCCTATGGAACTTATTATTAGATGATATGAACCCATATATATATATATATAAATATAAATAATATTGATGCTTATCCTCTATTCAAATTTCTAAAGATTGCCAATCTACTTCGTTGTTGTTGTAATTGAGATTGAGATGCGATTGCTGAAGGATTAATGACACGATCCCCCGATTGTTTAACGTTAACGCTCATACTAATACTTCGTTCTCTTGAAGTATCAGGTTTAATAACGGAACCAAGAGATTTTTCCAATTTGCATGAAGTCATTGATGCTCTTCGACGTGCTTGTGTACGAACATTTTCATCAAATCTTTGAGAGATTGAATCATCCATGGCATCACTCAACAATTCACTTAATAACAATGGTTTATCAGCAAAATCAGGGGGAATAGGAAATTCGTCATCATCGTAATCATCGCCATCATAATTATTAAACCCAAGGAAACCATTTGATAGAATAGTACTTCTTCTCTTCTTCGTTGGTGTATTATTAACGCTTGAATTAGCTGAACCAATAACAGTCTCGTCATCACGATTTGACGATGATGAAGAAGCATTACTAGCGATTACAGTATCAGGTGAGAGAGTAATAGTGTTGGGTGAGAAGTAAGCATTCGCAAATGCTAAAAATTCACTATTTGAAGAAGAAGTTGGTGTAGTAGCAGCTGAATTCACTAAAGGTGGCGATGGTATTGAAGTATCAGATGAAGAATTTGAAGAATCGCTAACGTAAGAACCATAAAGAGCTGGATCACTACCAAATTTACTTAATCCTTTTGATTTGTCTTTCTTATTTGAGTTCTTCACATTATCAGTACTATTTCTTCTCTTGCAAAGGAGGAGTCGTTCTTTATCGTTATGGATGAAACAACATCTTTTACCGTATGGGCAAGTTCCATTTTGCCAAAAAGTTTTGCAAATTTCGGTCTTATACTTTGGATGATGTTGAACTTTACGTAATTCATTTTCTGAATGCGCAAATTGACATTTTGTACCATATCTAATTTATCAAAATGTAAAAGGGTGAATAATAAATATATTTAATTAATAAATTAAACATTTTGAATATAAAATAAAATCAAGATTATATATGATTTTTGATATAACTTACCGACATGAACCTCGTTCTTCCCAATTACGACACATTTCAGTCTTATATAAAGTTGCCTTCTTTTGTTCTTTTTCAGCCTCGATAGTAGGAGATTTTTCCGATTGTTCGGAATTGGTATCAGACATAACAGTAGTATTACTGCTACGCCGAGCCTTGGAATGTATTGATGATATAATTTGTTGTTGTTGTTGTTGTTGTTGTTGATTAGCAGTAATAATTCCAGAATGATAATTATTATTATTATTATTTACAACAACTTGTACACCACTTCCAAGAAGGCTTGGATTTGAATCAACCAATGAAGCATTTCTTTTAAGAGCATGGAAATTTTGAAGAGAAGGCCTAGATTTAAGTGGGGAAGTATCCTTCTGTTGCTGCGCCACGAAAGAATCCAAAGAATCAACAGTATGATCATTAAACGACCAACCAGAAGTTGCCGGTGTTGAACAACGTGAAGTGACGGTAGAATTTGTGGTAGCAGTTGTTGGAGTAGTTAAATCTTCTAAGGAGGACCAAGCCGAATGAGAAGAAAGAACCAAAGGTTTAGTAAAAGCCATACCGTAAAGAGGATTTTGCTGGCCTAATCCTTCATTATGTTCATTGTCGGTTGTGCAACCATTAAATTTAGTACCACTACCATTGTTGAAAGAACCACCACCATTAATGAGATAGTCGTAATAAGGAGAATTGATTGAATTAATTGAAGGATTGGTGAATGCTTTCGCAGATGATGCAACGGGGACAGGTTCATTAAACAACAATTTCTTAGCAAAGGCGAAACATTCGTTAAAATCGTAGGATTTTTTCGGTCCAAGGGGTTCCCAAACCATGTTGTTATTATCAAATTGTTGAGTAGTATCGGTCAAAGGAGAAAATTTTCTTAATGGCGCAAATAAAGGAGGGAGCAAAGAAGAATTACAAGTATTCTTGAAAGATGACAAATTTTCTGAACCAGAAAGGAATTTTTGTTCTTCGACTGAACTTTTAACTTCTTGTGTAATAGTAGCAGTAGTGGTCATATTCAACAATAACAATAAAGAAAAAATGGAAGAAAAATAGGGAAAGGGTGATCAATAATAACTTGCTATATAAAGATAAATTTTTTTTTTTTTTGGTTCCAAAATAACGGAGGATATTATTTTTTTTATTAACCAAAAA